GGTTTGGAATCAGGATTTTCCAACTCCCCTAGGTGGGTTTTCTGTGTTCACCAACCCGGTTAAAGCACCGGGCATTCGCTTTTCGTCCTCTCAATTTCGTAAAAAACACCCTGGTGCGAGAAGGCAGTTAGTGGGACTTTCCAGGCAGAGGCTATATACGCGTAGCCATGTGAGAGCATTTGGATAGGAAGAGCGGATTCTTCCCACTCTCGGCCGTACCAGGGCATTTGAATCTGTTTAAACGGTTAACTAAAATATCGAGGAAGGGGTAGGTTTAAAACATAATGGGTAGTTGTTGTCTAGCTTCTTTTTCAGTAATAAGAGTATTTAACAAATAGTTATTGTTCAGTCTCGTTTTCTCACCAATATCCTCGGTCATAGAGTTATTTTAATATCTATTTCCGTTAACTTGTTTACTTCTAGTATTTGGCATATGATTATTATCTTAAAAGCAAATTATGTTAGTAAACATACTGAAACCTATTTTTCTTGTAAGTACATTAGATACTAATTGGTTTGTTGAAGGTTTAAATGGCCCCTTTTCTGGCTTTTATGTTAAAATTTTCGTGAAAAGTAAACCTTGTAGTGAGCGGTAATTCTTTCAATCAATTTTTTACTCCATTTAACCGGGTCATAGCGTATATACTCTTGTCTTCATTGAAAGAGCGTTGGCGATTAAATGTGTACTGGATGAATGAACTATCATGTGTCCAGTTAAATTCCTACTTTTACTTAGTCTTGATCTGTTTTACTTCTGTTTTCCTCTGGGTGAACCTATGTTTGTTAGGTTGCTGACGTTTGTAATATAATCGTCATACCTTCTATAATCCTTAATCTATGTTAAACAAAATGTTTCTCGTCAGGCTGATTACGGAAATGCATGATTTCTATTGAGTTACTTTTCAAAAAATAGGTGGGGAAAGTCAGTCAGCTACATCGTAGGACCAGGCACATGTATACATCGGTCCAACTTGCCATACCTCATTAGCTCAACAAGATTAACAACGAATTCATAGAATTAGTTAATTCAATAGTGGTGATATATAAAGGAAATATTGTATATAAAAATATAGTACAGGAAGAAAGAAAGATATGAAACAATTTTAATCCTATAGTTTAAGGGAAGACAGAGTGTATACACCTACGCCATTATGATCGATTCTGAACCATGTCACAGAGTCTCCAACCATTGGTTACAATAGTCACGCAAATCCCAACCAAATAGTCTGCATCTACCAACATGGCTCAGACTAGAAGTTCGTGACTTCAAGGACTGATGCCACGTTTTGGAAAGGAAAAACAATCCACTAGTCAAAAGAAGATACAGTGAAACCACTTGCGTCGTTTGATGTATGTTATTTGTGATTCGTAGTTACTGATTTCTACAACTCAAAGATGCTTAGTAAGAAACTCTAAATCTCATGTTACACCACTCAAAGCAACGGTCGCTGAATTCATAGTTTTGTCACCGTCAGCCTGTTCAACACGGCGGTCTACTGAAGTCAATATTTGGTCGAATGTTGAGCTAAACGTTTATCATATTGAATTAATTAATAATCTCACAATTGACCTATTGCTATCAGTCTCATAGCTATCTTAGTTGGCACATCTTTACAACTACATTTACAGATTCGATTTCTCTGTCTAAGATTTTACACACAAACCCAACGTAGCTCACGCGTAAGGACATCAATAAGATTATATGCGCGGTCAAATGCCTGTAATTCACACGTATCTTTCGCTTTAAATTGATGTTTCGTAGCCATAGAAATTATCAAATAAGTTTTCTGAATTAGGGTTGGCCACAAACATATGATGAAAGCACCTCCCCATATAAACTTAAGGTGTACAGACTAAGCCTCTTCATTCATTATTCCCAAACCAGGTGTGAATAAGAATCCATCCATATATATATATATATATATATATATATATATATATATATATATATATATATATAGCTCAATGAATATTAAAGTATCAATTGTAAAGTGCCTTCATTATGCAGTTGTCGTTTTTTTATAAACAAGTAGTTATGAAAATATGCAGATACTTGTAACAATGATTCAAGGATACAAAGTACGTCCTAATATTATGTTGGCTACAGTAGGAATATATCATCAAATCGTATTAAATTCTTGTGTACGTGTGCTAACTAGATTTGTATTGATCAATTTAGTCCTAACTTTTAAAAAATTGTTCAACTCATTCACCAGGTAATCTTTGCTGCTCAAGCCAAAGTAGATAGAACAAGGTTGGAACCTGGGACTTTGTAGCTGTGCGTGTTACTCTTGAACCTTTGAACCATCGCCAGTAGTTAAGATAAAAGAAACCAGTCAGTCATATTAACTGTAAGATCTGATACTTATTTGAATCTATCCTAGTTACTATAACTTACACTAGTCAGTCAGTCACAACGTAGAACTTCGTACGTACGTACATCAGTTCGAGTTGCCATACCACATTAGCACAGAGATGCAATTGTCGATTCAAATCCCATAGTGGTAGAAGTAGTAAGAGTATAAGCATTAATGTGAAAGATAAAGGTTTGAAGATGTTATTGAAGGAGTATAATCTAGTGAAATGAATTTGAAAAGATAATAGAAAGGGACATGAAAAATTCAGAAGATTGGAATTCGGCAGAATGCGCCTGAGCCATGTCATCCAAGGTCTCTAACCATCGGTTGATATGATCTCGTGAATCCCAACCAGGTAGTCTACACCTACCAACATGGCTCAGTCCACTTGTCAGTGACTTCATGGATTTGTGCCACGTTTTGGTCTGGCCGCCCCTAGCTTTCTTCCAACCTACTCCTACACCATGGAACATTGCACGTCTGGGTAACACGTGTCCCAGCCATCTCAACTGATGAAGTTTCACTACTTCATCAATCGATTAGCCATCTCTACCTAGTACCCGTTTCCTAACAACTGCATTGCTTACTCGGTGGTCCCAGGATATACGAGCGATGCTTCGAAGACACTTATGATCGAATACTAGTGGCCTACGAATATCCTCTACTCCTACCCGCCATGTTTCACTGCCATAAAGTAGGACGAAACAAACTGCTGCACAGTAAACCCATCCTTTGGTTGATAGACAGATATCTCGCCTACGCCATAAATGACGCAAGTTGGCAAAAGCTAGACGAGCCTTCTGTATCCGTGCTGAGATTTCGTCACACACCAGACCACAAGGGCTGATGAGACTCCCAAGATAACACGTTCAATTACTTCACTCCCTATCGTTAGTTTAGGTGTCGATACAACCCAATCCTGAAGTAACATTTTGCTCTTCTAGGGGGAGAATCGCATCCCGAACATGTCCGCATTGCTGCTTATAGTGGTCAGAAAACTCTGCATGTTGCCAGCGTATTCACCAAATAAGACTATGTCGTCGGCGTATTCTAAGTCAACAAGTGAGTCTCCCGGTAAAATTTCAACTCCTGAAGATTTAGATGATGAAAGTGTTATCTCTAAAAGCATGCCAACGACAAAGTTAAACAAGAATGGCGAAGGTGGACAGCCCTGACGAACACCACTTGAGGTAATCAATTCTGATGACAGTTCGCCATAAGCTCTAACTTGACCAGTTGTTTTCGAGTAGAGAGCCTTTATGAGGTTAATGTACTTCTTTGGTACTCCTTTCAGTGACAAACACTGCCACAGAACCTCAAGATCAACGGAGTCAAATGCCGTCTTATGGCCAAGAAATACTATGATTGTGAGACGTCTGAATGTGTATCTATGTTCTAAGACAACGTAGAGTGAATATATGGTCTATACAACCACGTCCAGCTCGAAAACCAGCTTGGTTTTCTTTAGTCTACTCTTTACGAGCTTTGGTTAGGCGTCGAAGTATTATTGAAGCTAATATTTTAGATACTATATTAGTCAAACATTCCTCTGTGATTGTCACAAGAGGACTTCTGTCCATTCTTATAGACTGGCACAATTGGGACCAGTCAGATGGAATTACGTCCAGTTCCCAGATTCTACCTAAGACCTCAGTCAATTTCTCTGCTAGTACTGGACCGTCATCCTTAAAAATCTTAGGGCCTACTGCTCTCCCACGCTCCAGATTTCCTATAGCTTTTTCAACCTCGTAAACAGTTGATGGACTTACATTAACTTGCCATTTAGGTCGACTGGGGATTGTGGAAAACCGAAGCGTAGCTGGAGGCCAGTTGGACTGGTCCTTAAGGTGTTCTGCCCGTCGATCCGATCTCCTGGGTTGAGAATGGATAATATGTCCACCTGTTTCCGGGATAGTTTCGCTGACAGTTGGGTTCCTAATACCGGTTTCTTTAACAAGTTTGAACAGTTGTCTGCTTTTGCCTATTTCCGCTACCTTTTCCATCTCTCTTGCTTTCGCCACCCACCAATATTTGTGATCATTGCGTAGTTTTCTTGTTAGCCTGCGCTCAACTTGAATCCGCTTTTCGTTATGTTCAGAAGCAGATGGGTGAGTTTTTGAGCATCTATCAGTGCGGTAGCTGCTGCTGAGATCCAGTGTTTCTCTCTAACCTTATGGTTTACCGTACTAGCAGATATCGCTGCTGTCTCCACAGCTTTTCGAAGGTCATTCCAGACTGCCTTGGGGTGGGCACAACTTACATGGCTGCCTGTTTTTCTAGTTGTTTCTGAAATATATTTTTAGCTTGGCTATCATTAATTGGAAACCTAAGAGGCTTCCTTGAAGCGGCTTTCCTACGTCCAGTAAGACACAGACAAATAGGCGCTCACACTAGAGCATGATCTGAATATAAGCATGTGCTCCAGAATGAGCGACAGTCTTCTATCGAGCCTCTCCATCGGTGGCTGATAGTGATGTGATCTATTTGGGTCCAACGTTGGGACGAATTCGGGGGTCGCCATGTTAAAAGATGTTTTTTCTTGTGCTTAAAGATAGTATTTTCAAGAAACAGGCAGTTATCTGAGCATAGCTGCAACAGACGGTTGCCATTATCTGTTCTTTGAGCCACGACACCATAGGATTCCTTTTCGCTTAGTTTACCTACTTGGGTATTAAAGTCACTAGCCGCTATTACTACATTGGAGCGCCTAGCTTTTCGGAGAATGACGGAAAGCTTTCTGTAAAACTCATCTTTTATATCATCTGGGCTGCAGTCAGTGGGCAGAGACGACGAAGAGGCAATGACGAGTGTCCTATCTTGCCGAGTCCTTAATGTTCCGTGCAGTCTAGTCTTACACTAGATTGGCAACGAGAGTAAATCATCAAAATACAAAGCAGAGAATAATAAATAATATCCACAGGAGTAGAAACCCAAACATAAGAAATCCTGTTCATGAGTTTCTATTGTCTCATCGTTAATATTCACGACTACGTTTGGGTCTTTGTTAGCATGTGTGTATCCTTAGTGGATTGCCCAGATATAACCTTTTTGTCACAGATTGTTGCTAGCAATAGAGTTAGGAAGACGTGTTTCGTGCTATTTGTGACTCGTCAGCTGGGTGTACCTGCGTTCCAGTACCAATGGCTTTGAACCCCGACACGTAACCTACTGAGTCCAGGTAGCTACCAAATTTGATCACTGGTTATGATTTTCGTTTGCGAGACCGGATTAAATTTCAGTCGGTCTTGAATATCGACAACGGAGTAGGAAGAACTTATGGATAAACATTATGTTCTTTGAACAAGCTGGGGAATATCTGTATGCAATAATATACAGTTCTAAACTACAGATAACTCGATAAAGTCTATTTGGTATGTTCCCAACCATTAATGCACATAACGCTACAACGTTAAAATGCATTATCCTTAAAATTAAGGGACCATTTGTTGTTTTACTGAAAATGGTCAAAATTTTTGTGCATTTATGTTAACTACAGTGTTCCAAATATATTTTAGTTTTCAGTCAAACATTTATTGGATAAGTTGCGTTATTCTACGATAAATGTAATAGTAAGTTTACATAATGTTATGGAAACTGTTACCAATTTGTCGTACTTATTTTTTTCATAGGTTTGTTTTGGTGCATGTGTTTGCCCATTCTTGTTTTTCAATGTAATTCGTTCTCGATGGCTTCAACTACTGACCGTTTGTCTACGATGGATTGGTTTTATTTTGATGTTGAGTCTTTCAATTGAAAGAGCTATTATTCTGCACAAAAATATTACAGTTGCATCGTTTCACCATAATGTTAGTATGTATTGGAATCCTTCAATCTATTCACTACTTACAAAATCTGAACCAATACCAAAACCGCCAGCCTTTCAACCTCAAAATATTCCAAGTTTATTCGGAGTTTGTGTGTACGTATTTATGTGTCATCATTCCATACCTGGTATTGTAACTCCTGTTAGAAATAAGAGTAAAATATTATGTAGAATATTTATACCTGTTTTCATTACAGTTCTATCGTTTAACCTCTTATTATCTACTACAGCTATCATTGCATTTGATCATATTGAAGATATTTACACATTGAATTTTCTACCGAATAATGAATTTATTGACATATCACAAATTCCTTATACATTAGCTTTGGTAATAGGTTATTTTTTATGTTTATTTCCTGTGTTTGCGTTGACTTCATCGTTCCCAATAGTTGGCACTAGTTTACTTGGAAACATTTTTTCTTTATGTAACTTCTTCTCTGTATTCAAAAGTGATCAAGCTCAAAAAATTTTGAAGTACACATTACCATTTGTTGTGTTATTGCCACCTTTAGGGATTTCATTAATAACTCATAATGTTGGGTATTTGACTGGTTTTACCGGGGCAATTTTTGGCTCAGGTATACAGTATATAATACCAGCACTGTTAGTATTTAAAGCACGTCAATACTTTACACACTGCGTCACTTTGAAAGAATCTAATCTTGAAACAACAACAGATCTACAGCAAAATGATACGGCATCGGCAACTGTTGGTGATGAAATGACACAACCAACTTCCAGCAATAGTGGCATGGAGAATGAGAATATCATATGTAGCTCAACAGATCATACAACAACACCACATTCTGTTTCAATTATAAGAAAATGTTCCACCCATCATTTATTACCTATTCCAATGCATGCATCACCGTTTCAGCACTTTTTCTGGATAACAATAATAATAATTTGGGCTTTATTTTGTACTATCATTGTCCTCATTGACAAAATACATCATCTTTAAACACGTTTCTTAGGATTTAATTTTTTCTGAAAAATTCAAATGTTTTATCCCTCTTTATCAGAAGCTCTTTGTTGATTTTGGTTACTTCTACTGAATCCTAATAATAATTTGATATTTTTAATAAACTGATTAAATCATACATATATTACACACTTAACCATGTGTTTCGATGTTGTCTAATTGTAATATTTTTACCTTTCAACTATTAGTAAGTCGACCACTTATAAGTAATTTTAATCCAACCAACGTAAAAATTGATATCCATGTAGAGAATTTTTTTAAAAAGTGTATACTTTCTTGTGAGTAACCAATTTTTCAACGAATGTATACTATTTTTATAGTTGAAATCATGGGTCAATTGAAGCTAGACCACCATCGAAAACCTGGAAGCACTGGACGGCCGTTTCGTCCTATTATGGGACTCCTCAGCAGTGCGCATCCACGATCCCGCACTCGCGAGACTCGAACCCAGGACCCACCAGTCTCGAGCCGGAGCCCTTAACCGATATATATATATATATATATATATATATATATATATATATAACCGAATGTATACTAGACAGAACTAGCCAGCATGAGAATTTCTCCACTAAAAGTACATATTTATTTATCGAACGCATATTGTTTTTCTTAGCAAACCTACCAGTTTATGAAGTTTTAAATCGAAATAAGTGATTATGAATAAAAAAAACTTACTTGTAACAGTTTTACACTAATATGTGAGCGAAGATAAAGTAAAACTAATGAGACAGGCATGTGATCATAACCTGAATTCGACCGTAAATCAAATAAAAAAGTACTAGGCGACCAGTTGGAAAAGGTATAAACGACATATTAGAGGTAATAATTAAAGCACATGTTCGTTATTATCTGCATAAAACAGGGAATCGCAAGAATTAAGTGGGAACGGATGCATAACAAGAAATTATACATGATATAAAAATAAGTGGAAAGGTAATATGTACACTGAATGTGTAGGTTTGAGTCTGCAATTATTTGATAAGGAAGACCAAGGATTCATTAGCCCTTAAAGAATCAAGACGTTTCAGGTACGCCTCTAGCAAACTCATTGATTACATTGCTTTTGTTAAAAACATGAATCTGTGATACAGTGGTCGTGACTGAAGACATGTTTTGTCGGCTGTCGACCAACCCCAAAGAGTCCCACTGTTTAAGCTTAGTGCTTTATTCAGCTGTCATATGGATAGGGCGTACAATACTACACCTCAATAAATTGTTTTCTGAGCTTAGTTTGTTTCATCTCGATACAAAGTCAGCTTAATTACGTTATTCTTATGACCCACTAATTACCAGATGACTTAAGGTTAAAACGTAAGCAGAAGCTATTTTCAAACCAGTGAGGAATCCAAGATCACTCCTGTTATTTATGTTGATTTCTGAGGTACTATAGAACTTATTCTTCCCTTTCGAAAATTTTATCCAATTTAACAAATTCATCTTTTGTGATATATATGAAGAATAGGAGAAATTTATTGAAATATTTTATGCTGGGAATTCCATACTGTACTAACTATATGGTGATGAACAAAGTGATGATTATAGTTACTCAAAAATGGCAATTTTATATTACAAAAGTGAACATTGTAGCTGTTTTGTGGGTAGGATTTAAAAGCTATCTATAGTGTATTTCAAATGCCCTGTCAGTCATGTAAAATATTACCCTACCATCAAACAAACTGCCAAATTGTCCAAGTTGTCCAAATTGTGCAAGTTCATCAGGTGCAGAGTATGTATCTTTTTGGTGTTTTAAAGGCAACATCTGTGTTTATGAAGATTTTAAGGCTAATACCGACAACCATAAGTAGTGTTGTAGATACACTGTGCAAACACAAAGTATGGTTTGTTTGAAGTGTTTGTACTTCTTACGTAATTAACCAGTGTATAATATAACTTGTGTAATGAAATATTGGTATTTTGTTCAATTCCTTGACAACATGAATAAATAACCCAAGCGTTTTATTGAGAATACTTTGATGATAGTGAAGGAGACGTTTGAACATGAAGGTTCGGTAACTGTTCAGCTAAAAAGTGACAAAAAGCCAAACAGTTTTATGTAAACTAGGGGCAAGAGTGTTTGAACTATCTTATCTCAAACATTAAATATATAAGCTTCCAAGATAGCCAATTAATAATCCTAACTGGAAGATATTTTGAAGGGTCTTCAAAAGCTACTACAGATTCTGCTAAGACATAACCAAGGTTTATTAGCAGATTAAAAATCTATGAAACGGGACTATATACAGAAGTGTGTGCGTGTTGGTCACTACTGAAAGCATTTAATAGTCTAAACTTATCAGTGTGATAGCAATTTTGATAGTCGGGTACTGTGGTGTGTTCTACTGCTGTCGACAGATATAAGTAGTATGTATCACCAACAGAAAGTGAAATGTCTGGCGGCAGAAGGTCAAAAAGGTTGAAGAGGACGAGAACGGAGAATGACTGGTGTGGAAACGAGGAAGCAACCAAATCTGAGACAAATGAATGACATTTTGCAAATGAATTATTTACTGTATACTTCTCAGATTTTACGAAGAGACTCTATGATTTTGTATTCGAATACATTCGGTTGTACCCACTGGTGTTCTCGTTCACTACAGTACTAAATATTGTGGGACTGAACGGCATCGTCGTTACATGTAAGGTTATTTATAGAATTATAACTTTATGTCACCACTTACTGTTAAGTGAGTTTAGTTGTGCAAAGCAAATAAAAAAAAATTTAGATAATGAAACTGAACAAATATCGACTACATATATCTATATAAATGATATATACAGAATATATACAAAGATCGTCTAATCAAAACGAAGGTCATTTGTTGCTAAAGATATAAGTTTACATTTCGAATTTTCTTCCATACATTTAGGAGCATCGTTAACGTACAAATACACTGTACTGCCGTCAGGTACAGTAAGAGCACATGCAGAAAATAAACTCATAGTTAATTTATGTGGCCAGTCATATATATAAATATAAACTTGATATTTATGAATTTTATTAAAAAACGAGGTAATAAAGCTTTGAAATGATGAGCTTAAATTTTGACTTTCATAAAATTGATTTAAAAGAGACGAAGTAATCATTGGATTTTCTGACAGATTTAAAGTATGGAGGTAAGGAAGAGTATCGGGTATCATACTTAAAAATGTTGTTGCTACAGGCACTTGGATGTTATGTGATACAAAAACTGAAGATAAGTCCAACTCTTCAAGGTGCGGGCAAGTTTGCTTAAGAAAAGCTGACATCTTTTCAAAACGCATGTTCAGTGGACAAGATGCTGGAGGACCAAGAAATAAACGATAACATTTTGATACATTTAGATACTTCAGACTTTTTGAAGCATTTAAACCAATCAATGCCGATAAGTGTACGTCATATACCCAGCTACTATCAGATAACTTGAGATACTTTAACGAAAATCTTGGAACACTGGGCAGAGATTCAGGATCAACTAACCTAAAAACAAAACAACCCCGAAATTATTCACCATAAAAGTAGCACCCACGTTTATTTTCAGATATAAAATTTGGTGCCTCTGGGGTAATATCCTAGATGATTTAGTTTTTACGTATTTAATGACATGGAAAAACATAAAGTGAGTATAGATTGAGATCAGTTTGAGATGCTAATTATAAAAGATCGGTAACTAACCATCAGACTGATTCGAGAATGTGGGTATTTAACTTGCAAGAATTTCACTGTTTAATGGCTAGAACATATGATTTATTCTAAATTTTGATCAGACAAGTCACTTCAGTCTTTTTGGTTTGTTCTGAATAAAAGCCACGATCAAGCTGATCAGCTAGCGTTCCGTATAGTCAGGCATGAAACGGAATGTTCGTAATTGGACGCAAGCGTGCGTGAAATGGCGAAAAGTCAAGATTCATCGTCATACTAGTTCCGCAATATCTTTTTTCCATTGTCCCGGCGCTAGATTCAAACACATACACACCGACATTGTGGGACCAAAGTTGGTTACGATTGGTTTCAACCATATATTTTTCCCGCATCGATAGGTTCACACGATGGGTTATAGCGGTGTCAATAAAGGACATCCGACCCGAGATGGTAGCCAGAACCTTGGTTAAGAGTTGGACTTCTCGATAGAGTGTCGGGAAATATTACAACTGGTAGAGAAGCTCAATTCAAATATAGCCTTTTCCAGCAGCTCACAGAACTTCTTGAAAATTAAACGCGTACACACGGCATCCTACCATCCTATAGCGAGTGGTATAATAGAACGGCTACATAGGTAGCTAAGAGCCTCTCTCACGGCTGCGCTTGACAACAATAACCGGGTCAATAATCTTCTTCTAGTCATCTTGGGCTTAAGAGCACAAATTAAACAAGATATCGGATGTTGTCCAGCAAACTTGGTTTATGGAATTATTCTATGTCTACCTGGAGGTTTTCCGCTTTAGGTAAGTTTCCTGACTGATATAACCAAATATATGCAACGTCTAAAGCAGCACAAGAGTAGTTTAAAAATAGCGCTTCCAAATTAACGTCAACGATGGGTATACGTGACAGAGCAATTGGGTAACGAAACCCAAGTTCCTCACATCTTAATATGCATAGTTCGATATTTTCTGTATCATAGCTATTCTGTCCAGCTTGCGAACACAGACACTGTATTGTATGTTTGTTTGCATTGGGGAGCTATAATAACACTTGACTTAGAATTGGGTCTGTAGGCGTTTAATTTTGTCAAGCCCTTCACTTTATTTAACAGCGTGTCATTAGAACAGCAACAATTCGCCAATATCTTTGAATTATTATTACAATGTCTGTAGGAGCATGTATGTTTCATCATGTATTACAGTCTATAAATATATCTTTCTTACTAGCTGAAATGTTAGTTCATTGAATCACTCGATGACCCAATCGCTTCATATATATATATATATATATATATATATATATATATATATATATATATATATATATATATATATATATATATGCTTCTAAAATCTTAGCAATTCATTCGCCCTTAATCACTAGTATTCATTCGCACTCGCATTATTGTTCGTATTCACTTTATGTGCTTGTGGTTTTGTGACCTGCGTTGTATAGTAATAAACTGTGGTCAATGCTTTGTCTTCTGAAATTTAGACCACGTTGGGATTAATCTAATGACGGTTATTAGGACGAGTGATACATGAAGCATTGGGAACTACCCCGAAGATATTCTACTACAGTGACAACACAAGATGAATCATTTACCAGTGAAATGCATAAAAATCTACAGACATGCAAGAACACTTTGTGTAACCAGTAATATGAAGATTACATTACTCACGATAAAAATACTAAACAAATCAACTCACCTGTTTTTAGCAACAGTCTCAATCAATTCAAGTTTTTCAAGATAATCAGAAAATA